TTTTTTTAATAAATAAGTATCAGAAAATCTTGGGGGTAAATTAGTTAGTTATTTATATATTTATATAATTTACATTTATCTATTTTTTATTCATGTTTATTATTTAATTATCTTTTGTGGAATCAGCTCAGCTTTGGAATTTAAGATAGTATTATAAGTATTGTTTATGAGTAATTCTAGTAGTAGAAGTAGTAGTCCTATCGACGACAAATCAGTTGATCCTGATTTCAAACCAACCTGTAGTACTAAAGTATCTGTTTCAAAACATCCTTCTCGTAATTTACGTTCAACTTCGTCGTCTAATCCTCCTATAGAAAATTTATTAACTAAAGGTGATGCTCTTCTTGAATCTTCTTCTGAACTTTTAAATACAACTTTTGGTAAACTAGGTGACACCGACAGTTTTTTAGGTCAGTGTAGTCAAACCTTGTTAAAGTTAGAGCAAGTCCAAAATCCAATTTCTGATTTTAATCCAATTATTCCTATCAAACAGAAATCTATCGTACAGTCTCCAGAATTTCAGTCTTTATTTATCGAACCGAACCTCAATCAACCTCTTCCCCTACCTCGTGAAATGGCCAACAATCAGATAAGTCTAGAGGCTGCCCTACGTCTATTACCACAGTCGTTTGATGGTACCAGTTCAGAAGATCTTGAAATATTTTTAGAAAAATGTGAGTTTGCCATAGAGTGCGCAGACTCAACAGCACAGGAAAAACTTCTTAAAGGTATTCAAGTACGTCTATCCGGCAAAGCTAGACAAGCAATCAAATTCAAAGAAATCCAATCGTGGACTGACTTAAAAAATACTCTAAAATCCACTTTAGAACCACAGAGGACAACTACTCATCTCTATCTAGAGCTATATTGTACCAAACAGGCTCCTAATGAAGATGTTATTTCTTATGCCAATCGTGTAGAATGTCTACAATCACAAATTTTAGAACAAGAAACAAATGGAAAAAGCACTGAAGCAGCTACCGCCCTTGAGCAAAGCCTTAAAGCTCAAACAGTCCAAGTGTTCACCGAAGGTTTAAATAATCTTAAAGACTTTATAAAAGCTCGCAATCCACCAACATTAGAGAAGGCTATTCAAGCCGCCCGTGAAGAAGAGCGTGTCCGAAAATCATGGCACGAATCTAGGAAGTTGACCCCTACAACAGGAGGAAAGTCAAAAGTTATGTGTTTTAATTGTACAAAAATTGGTCATTTAGCAAAAGACTGCAGGTCTACTTCAAATCACACGCATAAATCATCAAATTTTATTAAGCCTAAATCTAATTTGCAAAGCTATCGTCCTAACTTGGCTCACGTTCAAATGGTTGTGTGTCGTTATTGTAAAAAATCAGGACACACTTTAGAAGTATGCAGAAAACGCCAATGGGTTAACAACAAGAAACAATCACAATCAACACCAGAACCACAGACATCTAATGCGGGAAACGAGACACGACAGGCAACTTTCGGCGGAAAACCTGTCAGCAGCATCAAATTAGCCGATCTCTCCATTTTACCGCAAAATTAGATAACCACCATGTTGTCTACCCAATTCATCAGACAAACTCGGGCACTGCCAGACTTCTACTTGATTCCGGTAGTGACCTAAACCTTATTAAAGTATCATCTCTTAAAAGTAATGTGATTTTTTATGATCACATAATATATCATTTGAAGGGCATAACTGACCAACTAGTTATGACATTAGGAATGACTACCTTAACTATACAACTAAATAACCAATTCCTTCAAGCAGAGTTCCATTTAATTCATCCTGACTTTCCCATACCTCATGACGGAATCCTAGGAAAACCTTTCATAGTAGGACATCAGACTCTCATAAATTATGGAACCAATGAATTAATCATTCCGAATTCAGCCGGTATTGTTATCTCTCCTCGATCAGAAACTCTTATTACCATACCAGCTTCGACTATTAAAGAAGGCACCATGCTCTTAATTCCTTCTCAGTCAATTAACGAAAACCTCGTAAGTGGAAATGTCGTAACTCAGGTCCAAGGCAATCGCGTATTACTTTCTATTTTAAATCCGTCAGAACAACCCGAACATCTTCAGATACCAAATCTCGAAAGTCTTAATTACGAAGAATATCTAGAAGTATCTATAAATATTACGCAGTCACAATCCCAAAGTAACTTCGATGGAAGCAGAATTAGTCGACTTAAGCAAGCTCTTCGTACTGATCATCTGAACAATGAAGAACGAAATTCATTGGAAAGCATTTGCAGTCAGTTTTCCGACGTATTCCATTTAGAAGGGGATCCAATTACGCATACTACAGCGGTATATCACGAAATTAAAACACCTGATAATGTCCAGCCGATAATGGACAAGCCCTATCGACTCCCTTACAAACACAAGAATGAGATTAATGAACAAATAGCACAACTCGAGAAAGAGGGAGTTATAGCTGCTAGTGAATCTCCATGGAATGCGCCATTATTAGTAGTACCAAAAAAACCAGACATATATGGAAATATCAAATATCGCGTCTGCGTTGATTTTCGAAAAATCAATCAGGTCTCTCAAGGAGATGCCTATCCTCTTCCTAACATCACTGATATCCTTGACCAGCTTGGTAAATCTCGCTATTACAGTACTCTTGATCTAGCAAATGGTTATTATCAAGTCCCTATGTTACCCGAACACCGTGAAAAAACCGCTTTTTCGACTGACAAAGGTCATTTTGAATTTATTCGTATGCCTTTTGGTTTGAAAGGTGCACCAAGCACATTCCAACGCCTGATGAACAAAGTTTTAATTGGCATAAATGGAGTAAAAGCTTTCGTTTACTTAGATGATATAATCATATATGCTAAAAATTTAGACGATCATTCTCAAAAGCTCACAGAAATCTTTGATAGACTTAGACAATATAATCTAAAATTACAACCTATTAAATGTGAATTTCTCCGCAAGGAAACTCAATACCTAGGTCATGTTATTACAGACCAAGGTGTTAAACCTGATCCAAGAAAAATAGAATGCGTTCAAAATTTTCCCGTACCTAAAAATGTTAAGGAAGTTAAGTCATTTCTTGGATTATCCGGTTATTATCGACGATTTATTAAAAATTATGGGGAAATTGCGAAACCTTTGACAGCTCTCTTAAAAAAGGATGTCCCATTTACTTGGGGTGACCTTTGCCAAGAATCTTTTCAGACGTTAAAATGCGTATTAACACAAGCTCCAATTCTTCAATATCCTGACTGTGAGAAACCCTTTGTCCTCACTTGTGATGCTAGCAACTATGCCGTAGGTTGTATCTTATCTCAAGGTCCTATAGGAAAAGATTTACCTATAGCATTCGCATCCAGAACATTAAATAAGGCAGAACAAAACTAANATTCGCATCCAGAACATTAAATAAGGCAGAACAAAACTACAACACCACCGAAAAGGAACTAACAAGTATTGTATGGGGTGTAAAACAGTTTCGCCCTTATCTTTTTGGTCAGAAATTCACAATTGTCACAGATCATCGTGCTCTCACGTGGTTATTTAACCTCAAAGATCCTGGGTCCCGGTTAACCAGATGGAGATTAAAACTAGAAGAGTATCAATACACAGTGCACTATAAAAAAGGATCACAAAATACCAACGCTGATGCTTTGAGTAGAATCCATCAGGTAATTACCCGTTCAACAAGTAAACCAGTAACCGAATCGCTGAATTCAGAAAATCCAGAATATATACGAAATCCAGAATATTCCGAACACTCATTAACTCCGGAAAATCCAGAACATTCACTAACTCCAGAATATCCAAAACCATCTTCATTTTCCAATAATGAAACCATTACAGAATCTCCGTGTCAACACATATTGGATAATATCAGCCACNCAATACGTATTGAACAATATCAGCCATTATTCTAATCTTCCTAAAAATATAGTAGAAACCCATGGGAAGGTGTTGAATGCACCCTCAGACTATCATCTGGCAAATTTTGTATCCAAAGATCTCAAGTTATCAAAAGGAATTGCTTTAGATTTTCGTCGACAATTTGGGCAATTATCTAGTCTGCGGAAACAAAACAAGAATGTTACTGAAATCGCTTTTCTCAAACAATCCAATAGATTTATCCTCTACATAATAATAAAAGAGAAGATTTGGCAGAAACCAAAATACGAAATTATTTTCACTGCCCTACAAAATCTCCGAGAATTTTGTCATGTAAATCATTTAGATAAAATAGCTTTACCTAAAATAGATACTGGTCTAGATTGGTTAAATGTTCGATCTATCATAAACTATATCTTCAGAGACTCTAACATTCACATTCTTCTCTATTCTCTAGTTGAATACTCATCAGAACAAAAATCTCATATCATTCAAGAATTTCACCTAAATCCTAAATGNACATTCTTCTCTATTCTCTAGTTGAATACTCATCAGAACAAAAATCTCATATCATTCAAGAATTTCACCTAAATCCCTTAGGTATATCAGGGTATATCACGAACTATCAATAGATTAAAGAAACAACACTCATGGATCGGTATGAATCATGACGTGGCTGAGTTTATAAAAAAATGTACATCATGTCAGAAAAACAAGACTACAAATCGTCATGTAAAAGCACCGATGGTAATTACTACTACCTCTTCAAAGCCCTTTGAGAAAGTTTTTATGGATGTAGTCGGTCCTCTTCCACGTACACCTCATAACAATGCCTACATCCTAACTCTTCAAGATGATCTTACAAAATTTTCATGGGCTGTCCCTATGGAAAATCATGAAGCAAACACTGTTGCTTATCATTTTGTAACCAAATTCATATGCTTACATGGTATCCCTCAGAATCTCGTTACTGATTGTGGCACCGAATTTCTTAGTGATGTGTTTAAAGAAACATGTCGACTACTGAAAATAAAAAAAAACATCTACAACTCCCTATAGGCCGCAGAGCAATGGAAGTCTTGAGAGAAGTCACCGGACTTTAGGTGAGTATCTTCGACACTTCGTAGATAAAGATCAGCGAAACTGGGACACTTATGTTCCATTTGCTATGTTCACTTACAACTCAACAACTCATTCTGCCACGGGATACCAGCCCTACGAACTTTTATACGGTTATGAAGCCCAAGTCCCAACATCATTTACCCGAGAACCGGAACCACAGTATAATTATACAGACTATCAATTCGAATTAAAAAGAAACATGCAAGAAACTCATAATATTGCCAGAAAAAGATTATTAGAAAAGAAGCAGAAATCTAAAACCTCCTATGACCAAACTCAATTCCTTCCCACACTTCATATTGGTGATAAAGTTTTAATTCAGGAAAAGGCTAACAAAGGAAAACTGGCTCCTAAATGGTTAGGTCCTTTTGAAATATTAGACACAAACGCTGATTCAGTAAATATAGTTATTAACAAAAATGGCAAACGTCAAACACTCCACAAGAACATGGCTAAACTCTTTCATGAATAATAATTAACAAATAATCATTATTGCTTGTTACAGAATGGTTACTCACTTCTCTCAATATTACGCAGAAAACCTAAAAGCGTTCATAAATATCACTGAGTTCAATCAAACGTCCGGTCTGTATTACGAATCCCATGGTCCCCTCAGAATCTCTCAGAGTACCTGGCAACTTATTTCCTACCTGGATTTAAAGAACTACCAGCAACGTCATTCTTTAATCTTAGGTTATTACAATCAAACGGTGCGTCACTGTCGGGACGCATCAGAAAATTCAAAAGATATAAAAATAGCTACAGTCTGTACCCAATTTGTTCAAATTACATTACCTTATTTAAATGAAATAGAATTCAATCATATTACTCTTTCATCTATGTTAAATCTGAAGGGGAATAGCAGTTCTCTTTACTCCCGACAAAAGAGAGGTCTAGCAAATTTCGTTGGTAGAATAGCAAATGTTTTATTCGGTGTATGTTCCGATCAAGATGCTGAATATTTTTATAATAAAATCAGCGAACTTCAGGAAAATAAAGAAAAAATTCTACGACTATCCAAAGAACAAATACACATTATGAAATCCGTAGTTCATCACACATACAATTCCTCACTACATCTAGATCAAACACAACAAAATATGTCCCGAAATATACAGAAACTACTATCGCAAAGTCAAATGAATGCTGATAAAATCAATTTAGTAGAATTCATTTCTACTCTAGCTGAACATACAGCCACCATAACTCTACTACTTAGCCAATACAGTTGGGAAACTCAGAACCTCCTTGCTATAGTTAACTCAGCTCTAAGTGGTCGATTACATTCTAGTATCCTACCTCCTAATATCCTACTTAATGAATTGAAAGAAATCCGTCTTAGTTTACCATCAACCCTTGAACTCCCAGTTTCTATCTATTCTACAAGTCTAACTGATTTGTTCAAGATAACTACTATTGATGCATTATATATTAATTATACTTTGATTTTTAATTTAAAAATCCCTTTATTGTCTAATTTAGATTTTAATTTATTTCACCCCATATCCTTGCCTATACCACAAGGAAATCAAAATTTTATTTTTATTGTAACCGAATCTAAGTATTTAGCTTTAAGTAGAAATAATGATTATTATTTTTCTTTATCAGACCTTCAACTTTCAAATTGTTTTGATTTAAGTAATTTTAAATTGTGTAAGTACTCTAAAGCACTATATCGTCATTCCAAAACAAAAAATTGTGACGTAAATCTATATTTTAAACCTAATTATCCAATTGTCAATTGTAATCTTAAGTATCGTAAATTGTTCATTCCCATATATCATAAATTAGAAACTCAAAACTCTTGGTTATATGTGACTCCTACAGAAACTCATATGACACTCAAATGTAATAATGTACAGAACCTCTTTTCTATTAATACCATTGGTAAAATAACAGTGGATAAGTCTTGTACTGTGAGTACCGAAACTTCAGTATTATTACCATCTCAAAACATTATTTCTGTTTTCTCCCAAGACTTTGTTCCCGAGAATCCTTTAGTTTACATGAATTCTAATATAACTAATAAAATTTCTAAATATCAGCCTGAACCGTTAACAGAAAATAATTTCATTCAAGATTTGAATCAATTAGCAGATGACTCAATAGATCTCAATAATCTTGAATCCACAATAGCAGAGTCTTCCGATCATTTCATCTTAAATACTCATATCCCATTTCTTTACTGTCTCTTTCTAATAATAGTAATTCTAACTTCATATGCATTGTGTAAATATAAAAATACCACCCGACAATATAAACCAGATATCGCACAATGTACAAATTGCAATGAAAGTATGGTCTGAAGTCTTGTTAATTTAATTATTTTATTGTAATTTAAGAGTATTATATGTAAGTAGTATTTCAAACACTACTTCCATTTAAGGGAGGGAGTGTTATGAATACTTAACTTAGTTTTAATATTGTCCCACAATTGTAATAACAGATAATCATAAATTGAATTGTAATTGAGGTCGGCCTAAAAGAATGTGTCTATAAAGTATTTTTCGGTGTTGCAAAACCGGGAAGTGGGCCGACTGCGACGATTGTAATGCAGAGTATCGTCAGTCATTTGACAATTATTGTATGAATACTATCACTTTTATTTTTAATAAACTAATTAATTATTCGGCAATACTATTTTATTTTATTCTATTTGTTACTCTCGTAACAATAGAATTGAAAATATTAATAATAGCCATTACACCATTATAGCAAACGAATGACGACGAGCGTACACGTAGTTAATTCTAAAAAATAAATTACCCAATATAGTAATATACTAATATTTTACTGTATGGACGACACTGCCGGTGGTCCAAACATGCTCGTGTGTTCATGTGTAGCCGCATATACTGAGGGAAACAACTTTAATGTTCGCACACGAAAATGTATTATAACTATTTTACTATTTAAAAATTTGCATTTTTAATAAAAATGTAGAATTAAGAATATACAACTAATTTTCTTCTTTTAATTAATTTTAGTAGGGGTTGCGATCGTCCCGTCGTCCAAGCCACGAGCCGTCATTGTTCTTCAATGGATTCGTATATTTTGTATTTCTTCCCTTTAAAATGTTTTTCTAGTTTATAAGGTAGTATAAAGTTATCCAAATTTAATCAAGTCTGTTCCCATTTCATAAATTTAAATTATAAGGTATAAGAAATGAACATAAAGAATATATTTCATGGTAGGTAAATTAAAAAAAAACAATAAGCTAAACGAAACTGAAAAAAAGATGATCAATATAACTCATATTTTCCGATTAATTAATAAGTGGTTCATAATAAGTGTATCATCCTTTGTATGAATTAAAAATATGTATGTTTTTACTTTTTCTGAAACGACATTTTTCATGACGATCTTGTACCTGGAACATTTTAGCTTAAAGTCGGTTAAACAAAAATATGATTCTCGAACTTGATACGGCTTTAGTTCATTAACCTTCACAGTAACATTATATCTAAAACAAAGTTTTATATGTATTTATTATAATTATATAAATACATGTATTAATATATGTATTGACGTATAAATAAATGTAAAATAATATAATAAATGTCTTTAACGGTCTCGCATCATTTCACGTTACACGGAGCCCCCCGCAACATTTATCAGCTTTCGCCAAAACTACGAGTAATAGTACTTTTATTGACTAAACTCGCTTGCCACATGCCACAGTATAAAGTGGCAACAATAACCTGCCGTAAATATATGTGGTAATTTTCATACACACCTAACAATTCGCACGAACGAGATTCGCCACATTATACCCTTTGTTTAGTTTTTTATCACAGCACCGTCAAACCGGACAACCATGATTGACATACAAAAATATATATTTACAGTTTATTTTTGTGAAGTTAAAAACTCTAAGTCATCTACTTTCTTTGTAAACGATCATCGCGCACCCTTGTGTCACTATTTATTTATTGTTTATTCGTATTCGACGATTACTCGATATTTGTCTAAAAATGTAAGAGGTGAAAACAATGCATTAAGATTAATTTATCATATTCGTCCTTTCTCTGTAAAAAGTCGTATGGTGTAACATCAAAAGAATTATTTTATATGAAGTATTTGAGCTGTAGAACGGAAAAATTTGTCTATTTTTATCAGCAGTAGCGTATTTCATAATGGGGTTATAGTAAAAAAAACCCAGCACAGTGGGGACGTGGCATAGTTGGGTCCAGTATAGATTTAATCCGACAGTAATTAAAATCACTATCATAAGAAACGATTTCGATCAAGTCTGTAGATGGTGTTTAATTCTAAGAAATTGGTGGATAATTACAAAAGCAACATTAACTTCTATTTCCTTAATTATATCCAGATAAGTAATTTTTAGATTCAAAAATATAATATATAATTTTTATAATTAATTGTTTTCAAATCATTATTGATTTCAAATTTTAATATGTTAAAAATAATCATTTTTAACCTACTTATTTTTTCCTTTAAAGTGAAAGTTTATAATAAAAAAAAAATTATTTATTACCATAACATGTAGCTCAACTTTCAAGTTTGAAATTGACATTAGAAAAAAATGGTATTGTTAAGATTAATATGCAATCAGGAAATTTTATAGTCACTATTTACAGTAAATTTATTAGAAAAGCTCGATTTTTTTTTTGCANAAATTTTATAGTCACTATTTACAGTAAATTTATTAGAAAAGCTCGATTTTTTTTTTGCATTTCTATCGTAATAGATCACTTAAATAGAAATCATTTCTAATTAACTTTTGGTATTTAAAAAGATTCTAAAATTGAAATATGTAGAACTGAATTAATTTTAATGATATACTTTAACTAAAAAAACTAATCAAAAAGTTGTTAAAAAAATTTTATAAAATTTTATAATACTATAATATAATATTGAAAAAATTTATTATTAAATTCAGGTGATACTAAAAATTATTATTTTTTTTTAGATTTATAATTTATACAGTAACATGTTACAAGAAAATTTAGAATGTTATAGACTGGTAGTTGCACTCACAAATAAAGTTAAAAAATTAATTAATTACAAAGTAAAATTATTTACTTTTGTAGTTTAATACTTTTATCATATCTAATTTGACGATAAATACTTTAAAAATATTAGAAATGAATTATTTTAATTGTTTGTGTACCTAAAGTTGGTTAAGCTACTTTTTATTTGATTAAAGAATTTTTTTCAATTTTTGAGGGTAATATCTTCGACTAAATACGAATTGTAATTATTTGAATAAAGTAGGTCAAGTGAAGATTGAGAAAATAAATAAAATAAATCGTAGCCACAAAAAAATCACATAATAAAATAATATTAACATAAATTTAACGTATCGTTGATAAAAGTAGGTTAATTGAGGTTTGAGAAAATAAATAGCAGCCACAAATAAAAAAGAGGTTTCCCCCATTTACGGAGAACAAAAGAAATTTTTCAATTTTTGAGGGTAATGTCTTTCACTAGATACAATTTGTGACCTTTTGACATATTGTTCATCAAAACTTCGCATTGAAGCTAAAAAATTATTCAGTATATTATATAAGCTTTCATTTATAATACATTTTACGATGTTGGCAGTTCTGGAATACACTTCCTAGAATTGTTCCATTAGAAAAAAAAAATAATTCATACAAATTTTGGATACTAACTGAGTAACGTTAAAGCGTACTGCATTAGAAATGAAAACTATTCAACTATAAGAGGAATTTTATGATTTTCGTCACTTATCGTAAAACTATACTATAAAAAAAAAAAATTATAGAACTAAATTGTTATTAACAAAAAATCCGTCGCTATAATAATTATTATTATAGCGACAGATTTTATTTTTTTTTTAATTTTTCATATTTATAATTATTATAAATATAAAAAATTAAAAAAAAGAAACATATTTTTAACTTAATTGTTGAAATTATTTTTATTCGTTTATTTAAATATTGCAGACAATTTTAGCTCAACTTGCAAATTTAAGAATTTTATCAATAAATAGATAATTTTATGTGAAATATATTATTCTATTTTTTAAATTGATATGTGATCAGAGACTTATAAAATTACTATTAACAGTAAATTTATGAGGAAAACTCAATATTTTGTTAAAATGACTATTTTTATTGTAATAAATCATTTGAATAGAAGTCTTAGTAATTATTTCTATGTAACTCTTGGTGTTTAAATAATTATTGATATTGATATACTGCACATAATACATTCTGCTTGTTAGGTAATTTTTTAACTAAAATATATTTATTGATTATTCATACGTAAACTAATCAAACATAAATATTTGTTATATTAATTAGAAGGATTTTGTTATTATTTAGTCCATATGCGAAACTCTAATTGCAGATTTGAAATCGGCGCAAAAATGCATATTTTTGACACTAACGAAAATTCCTTGTAGACCGTTTATTCATCATTAACGACAATTTTTGTTGAAAAGTATTGCATTAAACCCTTCAATTTTTATACACATTTGCCATAAAAATAATATCTACTTAATAATTTTTTATAATTTCTCCATAAAAAATAAAATACTAAATTATTAAATATCAATTTCATACTATATTTAATTGCTGCAATAATTATATTACACTTATAAATCATAAACTTGTAATCAATATATAAATAAGGAAATAAGAGTTCATTTTGTTTTTTGAATAATTCATTATTGTTTCAAAATTAAACACTATCTACAAATTTACATCAAAGAATTTCTTATAATAGTGATTTTAATCACTGTCAAAATATGTGATGAAAATCAAAAAACCATCCTTATAATCGAATTTTCAAACCTCTTACGACACTCAATTTTGCCCGAATTTTGTAAAAATTATTTTTTTTACCTTATAGAGCAATTATAAGAGGAAGGTATTGAATAAATTTTTCCCAAAAAAAAAATTAAACTATAACTTAGAATAGCCCTACTCAACTATGACTAAATGAATGGTATCAATTACTAACTATTAAAGCCATGCACTATTCACAAAGTAAATCAATATTCAAAGAGTTAAATTAAATTTGTTATGCAGTTCAAAATAAAGACATTGTGAACATTTTGTTGTGAAAAAAATATTTTTACGAATCGCGCAATGCATTTAAATAAATTGTTCAATACATCAAAAGTGAATAAACCATAGAACTCGTATAAAATATAATTATGATATTAGTTACTTTTTCATTATTATCAAAAACAACTTCAAAAATAAAGAAAACAAGTCAGAAATCTGTATAGAAGTGAGTATAACACCTAGTTGTCACAAAAATTTTCATAGAATTTGATTAATTCCATACAAATTATACAAAAATAAAATGCAGAACAAATACTCGATTAATATTATTAACTTATTTTTAACCAGTGGTTAAAGTGAGGGGGGACGGAGTCTCCCTTCTTATTTGGAGTGTAATTTAGCGTCCCCTTTAAATCAAATCACAAAAAAGGCCGGGGAAACGCTTTAATTTTGAGCACTGAAAAGTGTAAAACGTTAATATAAAAAAATTATTTAAATGGTTAAAATTTCAAAATTGTTTAAAAAAAATAATAATTGTAGAAGAACTAAAATTATGAAATTATAAGAATTTTATGATACGACCGTGGTAATTTAAATCTTGGAGCACGGTCGGCAGTGGCGTCTTAGAGTATAAACCATAGTCAATAATCTTCAACCGTGGTGATAAACTGATAAGTTGATAACTTATAGTTATCAGTTTTATACATAGATCTTATAAATATATAACATTATATGTTTATGTTATATATTAAATATTATATGTTATAACAACTTGTTTATAAGATCTATGGTTTTATAGTTATTACAACTATGGCTGATCTTTTTAAGTATGAATTTACAAAGATTAAAAAGACTGACGTTAATTTATCTAGTCCAAATGTTGAACAAACTAGTCAAGTTACTGAAAATATTATTTCTGTGAACAGCTATTTGTCTAAAATAAAATTTTCAGAGATTAAATTAGACGTTCCTTAATGTTGGGATTTTAATCAGGAATTATTTATTATTTATGTTAATGTATTTCAACATATTTATTAGTTTATTAAATTTACATTATCGTGTCTAGTCAAAATGTTTCATATTACTTTGTACTTAACTTTTTATACTTAATTTATACTTTAATAATTAACATCTGCTTGCATGAATGTGTACAAATTATAAATTAGTGATATAGATATAAGTATTGTGATATAAGTCATGTGTGTCAAAAAGTAGTTTTTAATACCTATATAAATGTTATTCTGGTTCAAGCATGTAAAAAAAATCATAAGGTCATCATAAAAAATATGTTTGTTATGTTTGGAGAAATAATTATTGTTATTTATGTGTTTGGGATTATTATAATTTTGAAACTGACTTTGTGATGTGTTTGCATAATATTCATTTCTAATTGATTTTTAATGAAATAACAAACATTGTAGGTAAGTACTAATCTATTCCTTTATTGAGATAATTTTTTTTTACTAAGTAAGTATATTTACTTATTATGATCAATATCATTTTTAGCCTTTGAAGAGGAGAGACGATTCGGCGTGGCTCCTCATTTTTTTGGAACTATAGTTCCCCCCCCTCTTAGTTTTTCCTACTTTAACCACTATATATTCAACATTTATCTTAATGTTTTGCTTCGAAACAAAAATATTTTTAATATCTTTTTAAAACATTTTTACGAAGACTATACTTTTCTATTTAAAATATAAATTTAAGACTTACACTTTTAATGTAGTACAGACGTTTGAACCTTGTAATTCAACTTCTGTTCGAACTAACTTCCATTGCAACGGTAAGACGAAAAGAAATGCTATGAAACTTAACACCAAGCTACCATTATGATAAATCATATTTCTTAATAACTAAATAAAAAATATTTCGTTTGCATATCTGAAAAAAAAAGTTTTTAGCAATAATAAAATTTTTGTCTGAGTATAATAGCAAGGTAATAGTAAAGTAATTAACATAAGTAATGTAACCCATTCGACTATTAACAGCGACAAGCGAAGCCTAACTTCAGAATTTTGCAGCATCTTAAGTGTCTACTGTACAAAACTACGCCATTGTGGTATATTTATAAACATTTTACATTTAACAGATTTTTTGTTTTTTAAACGATTTCGTGAACTCAACAATCTTAACGCGATATAAAAAAATTTACTTTCCTATTGTGAGAACTATAACCAATTTGTAGCATATTCTACGTAAAAGGCTCTCGTAAGTTACTATACGTTTTTAGAGTTAAAAAAAAATACTTTTAATGTCTACATAACGTATAAAAAATTAGGTATTTTTAAGTTCTTCTTGCTTAAGAGAGTTAAGCATTATCACCACAAAAATACAAATACAGCACACCTTGTCCTGATTAAATTGCAACTGAGTGCAAGATTTAAAAATTAAATATGATAATCATTGTTTGCCCGTATCGCTCAATATGGCGCCGTAACAGTTATGATAATGTCATTGCCCAAGATTGGGTGTTCGAATATAATTTACCTATTTTGGGTCTCGTATTTTCTATTTTGTTTTTGCTGTACTTACATTTCAATTGCATTTTTCAGCACATTAATAGCAATTAGTTTTTACAACACTTGATAATTTTATACTCATTTTACTAATAAGTCATTTAGATTAAAATATTTGATTTTCACTACTTTGTGGTTGACTCAATTATTCGCTTTGTGTTGAACATTTTAACACTTATTTGTTCATTTAACTTATCAAAACTCAATACATTGATTGTTCAATCTGAATAATATAATTTTTTAAGATAATTATTTTTAATATGCAAAACAGAACAAACCACTAACTTGTTTATTTAGATAGATAATTTTTCAATTTTATTCAAACTGATCTCTTGGGTTGTTACTCTACTCTACTAATTAATAACTTACAATTATTTATTTTGTCTATTGAGTCTTAAGTATGCATAATAGTTAACGCATTGAACAACCTGTTCAAATGTTGATTTCCACATAAGCAAATTTAACCAATAGTTTTATCTATATCATATTCTTTAATTTAGGGTTGCTTTCTCGTTTTCCACTAAATAGTTAGCTTTTACTTAATTTTATTAATTCTTTAACTATTGATTATTATTTGTTCAAATTTTGCACATTTGACCACTGGTCGAAGGGTGTACACTTTAATACAAATTTAGTCAGAAAAATTATTGTATGTTTATAATACTAGCAGTCGTGCGATTATTAAAATTGATATCTAGTTAAATAGGTCTGTCATCATTCTCATTTTAAATAGTTATTAACTTGGTTAGGAGATTATTTGATCTTTAACTTATTGATAGACTGATTGGTTATTACAATTATATAATAATATATAAATTGTAATTTGTTCCTATATTTGATATCATTGTTTAATATAGCATATTATAATTCAGTTTATAAAATATAGATTATTTTTTCGATAGTACGACTCCTTAAATAATTGAATACCTACCACTATTACGATTGTGGTAATCAATCAATATTTGAATTAATAGTTCAAGATATAAAATCTCGTACTGGATTTACTATTTTTTTTTATTGATTTCATAATACACTTTAAAACGTCTCATCTCCGTGTATACTTATACGCTTTCAATAATTTTGGTTCATATTACATATTTTCTATATGTTTTAGGTCAAATTTTGTGCATATTAACTAAAGCCTGTGTAAGAGTGGGGAGTAGAGTTGATGGAAAATATATTGTTTTCTCTACGGGTCACTTTATAATTCGTGGAGATATTCAAAACATCAGTTATTTTATTACAAAAAAACTGAGAAGTGCACACATTTTTTATTAGTTTTTCTTACATATAAAAATATACATACAGGTAATTGATTAACTATACCTCACAAAACATCTCTAAAAATAATCTTTAATATCTTTTTTTTCTTTATGAAATATTATGTTTCTATCTTGGACTGCTCAGTGAGTAAAATTGCATTTCTATGATCATTCCTTATGCTTTAAATCAGTATCAACTTTCAATTTTCAAATGGTAAACCTACTTTTTTTATATATAATCAGATTAGTTTTAAAAAAATTGTTTGTAAAAAAATTATTTTATTCAATTATCATTCCATGTGGATAGGGGCTAAGAATATTTCCACGGCCCCTCTGCTAATCGTAAGAGGCGACTAATGAGGTTCCGTCAGATCAACAGCCGACGAAAAAATTGTCAAAAAAAATATGAGAAATCCTGAACAAAACTTAGGCAGATTGTTCCATCTCGGTTGTAAGTGGGGACAACAGAAAGTAATTAAAAACGGAGAAGGCCTAAGTAATAAAGTGTTTGATACCAGCCGGACATCTTGTGCGGTAGCTGTTTCACTAATCATGTGTACAGGTCTACCCAACGCTTGTAGTGTCAACGGTGTAAGGACATCTCCACTTAACTCTAGGCTGGACTCGTGTATGAGGGAGAAAAAAAAAGATAAATACAAAGTAAGAATAGGAACAGTAACTGATAGACGTAGAGAATTAGTAGAAGTATTGAAGAGGAGAAAAGTTAACATTTGTTATGTGCAGAAAACTAAGTGGAAAGGAGAGAAATCAAGGGAAATAAAAGAGGGGTAAAATATAATATACCCAGGGAAGTATAATACAAAGAATGGTGTAGGTATAAGAATGGATGAACAAAAGAAAAGTAATAAAGTAGTAGTAGCTAGGAAAAGTGACAGGATTATAGTCGTGAAATTGATATTCGAGGAAAAAATGCTGAATGTAATAAGTGCCTATGCACCACAAGTAGGTTATGATGAAATAGACAAGGAAGTGTTTTGGAGAGAGATGGATGAGGTGATGGAAGGGGTACCTGGCAATGAGGATGCGGTTATAGGTGGAGATATGAATGGACATGTATATAATGAGAGGAGAGGATATGAAAGAGTACATGGAGGGTATGTTTTTATTGGGAAGAATGAGGCTGAAGAAAGAATCCCGGATTTCGCAGTATTGTATGATCTTGCTGTGGTTAATAATTATTTTAGAAAGAGGGAAGAACATTATATAACTTATAAGAGTGGGAGGTATAGATCACAGATTGATTATTTACGTGGAAGAGAGAGGAGATCGTAAAACGAGTAAAGTTTTACCAGGTGAGAGTGTAACTACACAACATAGACTGATGGTAATGGAGTTTTGGTGTACCAGGAAACGAATATACAAAAACAGAAGGAATACAGGAGCAAAATTGAAAATCCGTTGGTGGAAATTGAAAGGGGAAAATGAAAAAGTTTGTCAAGACGGTAAAAGAGAAGACAATATGGAATGTCGAAGGAGACATAAATTATGTGTGGAATTAATTTGCTAGTTATGTTAAGAATATTGCAAAGGAGATTTGCTTGTGAGAGTAGGAGTAGAATGCCAGGAAACAAGGAAACCTGGTGTGGGAGGAGCAACAGAAGGTTTTCCAGTAAGAGTAAGAGTGCACCAAGGTTTTGCTTTAAGCCCTTACTTATTTTCTGTAGTGATGGATGAAATTACTAGAGAAATACAAGGAGATATTCTGTGGTGCATGTTGTTTGCTGACGATATAGTGTTAATAGAAGAAAATAGGGAGGGAATTAATCAAAAGCCAGAGGTGTGGAGATCAGCTCTTGAAGAAAAGGGTTTAAGAATAAGTTAGTTGTGCAAAAGAGTGGTGGTATTGATGAGGATGTAAGACACAGAATTAGGAGCGGGTGGTTGAAGTGGATAGAAGCGTCTGGCGTCTTATGTGATAAAAGAATTCCAATGAGGCTAAAAGGTAAATTCTACAAGGCTGTAGTGAGACCAATTATGATGTATGGTTCAGAATGTTGGGCGGTTGATAAAAAAGTAGAGCAAAGAATGCTTAAATGGATGAGTGGAGTAACTAAAGAAGATAGGATAAGAAATGAGCATATATGAGAAAGAGGGAGTATAGGTGTAGCATCAATCGTGAATAAGATGAGAGAAAATAGACTTAGATGGTTTGGTCATGTTATGAGAAGAGAAGAATCGGAAGCTGTAAGAACAGTTATTGAAATGAATGTTGAAGGAAGAAGAGGTAGAGGAAGACCAAAAAAGAAATGTTATTGGATGCAATATGAGGACAGCTGATTATATATGTTATATGATTCGTTAAATTTTAGGGGACGTCTGTATTACTCACGTTGATTTATAAAAGACGCGCAAATTTTAATTCGCGGTACAATACACCGATAGTTTTTATCTGTACACTAAATATTTATGTTACTGTATTTACCCGACTACTGGTTTATTTGTTAAATCCCCTAAAATTTAAATAGTGATATCTAATTTAGAATTTATTAAAATAAATTTTTTTATGCTAAACATTATTAATAAAAAAAACTGGATTGCTATTTGACTATATATAGTCTTTATTTTTCTTTTTAAGTAGTTCAACAAAGATTTATAACAAATAAAATAATTACATATATGATAACACAATATTTTTAAAGAATATAATTAATATTTTTATTCGTGAGGCATAGTAAGTTAATCACCCTGTATAATTTTAAAAAAATAATAATAGTTCTAATTGTTAAATGATGAATAATAGAAACAATAATTAAAAATTGATGAAAATAATTGCAAAGAATTATAAGTTTTTATAATTGATAAAAACTTAAAAAATACTTTCAATAAAAAAATTACATTAAATTTTTTTTATAAAAAATCGTAAAACCCTTTATTTAATATACAGGGTGTTCAGTAAGTTAGGAAACAGTTAAATTGTTACAAACAATGAGTACAATAGAAATTCGTTTCCTTATTTACTGAACATTCTGTATATTTAGGTATAATATGGCACATAACATAAATAAATTATTCTGTAATTTATAATAATTACTGCTTTACTATTAGTATATTATATTAGAATGGTGTATTTTGTATTTAATTA